CATATTTCTAATTAATTCAATGTCCCCTTTAAATAATGCAAGGTCAGTTTTTTTTCTTTTTGATTTTTCAGACAAATGCCAGCAGCCATTAGGAGGTTTAACAGATGAGTTCTGCTAACATAGTAAATCCTGCTCCACCTGTTGCTTCTTCATGGCCTTTATAAGGAGCCGACTGGCCACAACCTGTTTTATTTTACACCCTCATCTATTACACTATCTGGATCTGAGGACATATGCTACAACCTGATATGCCATGCTGCTGCCATGTGCTGTCTGAAAGAGTCCTAATCAGGTTTCACAGCACTGAATATGTTAATTGAAACCAAGTGTTGAAAGCAGACATTTTCCACAGAGTGGACAGTTCATGGACATGAACAGGACATATTCACAAACACATGGTCAAAATTAAGATAAAATATTGATGCAACACACACACACACAAATGTTTGTTTTGTGTAAATGAAGCCAAGGAAAGCCAATCAGTCCCATTCTAGATGGACCAGCTTCTCTGAGGGGCACAGTTTGACCGAAAACAAATCACTGTCACTGTCTGCCACTGATTGTTGATGTATGACTTCCAGCCACTCACAGAGTTCAGTTTTCCAGACTGTCTCTGTATTTGGACAGATAGTGATGTCGTGGTGCAGATGTATAGAATTATGAGGCAAAGCTACAAATATTTACTGAATTAAAGTGCATACAGATTTTTGTGGGTGCAGCGTGAAACATAGATATGATGGAGACAGGAACCCGGAGGTGTCAAACAGAAGCGTTGCTCAAACCACAGATGATAAAAAAAACTATTAGCATTAATAGTCAACAATCAATAGACAACGGTAGTTAGCAGCAGCAGCATGGGGTTGGGGAGTAAAGTTTATTTTTAGTGATGATGTCATTCACTTTAAAGTCATCATCTGGAGCAGCAACTTATTCTTCTGGGTAGTCTGAACAGGATGAGGCTGGTCATTTTCTATAGTAACAGTATTTTCAACACTCCCCAAATAGAGACTAAAACAACAATGATTTGCCTCTACTCATGATTAATGTCTCTCAGTCTGTCAGTTCTGAATTAGTTTGCTCATCTGTGCCACAAACCTCCACTGTTGTTAAAAAACAATTAAAACACATCGCTGCACTAGGTGACATTTTTCCTCATTACAAAACACCAGATCCTAATATTTGTTCATGTTCATGTTTCATGTACTTCAGTTGTTGTAAAATGTCATAGTTCATCTGAGCCTTTATGCATTTAAAAATATATATATCAGAGTCTGGTGTTTCGTGATGAGGAAACATGTGCAGCGATGTGTTTCCCTGATGTGTTTTTAATTGGTTTTGAACAACAATGGAATTTTAAGGCACAGACAGAAAGATAATCCAGGTTGGAGACTGACAGACATTAATTGTGAGCAGAGGCAATTCATTGTTGGTTTTAGTCTCTGAAAGGAGAGTGTTGAAAATACTGTTAATCTAGAAAATGAACGGTCTTATCCTTTAATCGTCGAGGGCAAGAACAAAGAATAATGAAGTACTGCAGCCAAACATCTTTCTCACTGTCAGAATGAAGTGTACGGAAAACAGATCACATTGTTAGGTGCTTGTTAAATTCACAAACAGGGATTTCAAGTTTTTTCAGCTGTGTAAATGAGCTGTGCATGTGTGAAAATTGTCAGAGACACTCTTCACATATAGTTCTGTTTACTATAGCTTACTATGGTGTTATACAAACAAATGTTTAAGAATGACATTTAATCACAAGTAACACACTGAAAACACTCAAACTAAAGAATATAAGACATACAATTCACGTATATAATTGCCACTGTTGCCAGAAAGCCGCCTGAGGAGTGGGAAGCAAGTGTTTATTAGTTTAAAGGTCAAACAGAGTGCACAGCAACTACATGTATTGATTGTGTTATCCCTGGGTCAAATCAATGAAAACCATTCCAGAAAGAAGTTATAAGATTTTCTCATTAGATAGAAATGTTTAGAGAAGTGCAGAAAAACCTTAATATAGCGGAGAGATGTCTTTTCTTCATTGAGTCAGACTGGGGAGGTTTCGCTGTTGAGCCCATCAAGAACAGTTGATTTATCCCATGGGAGGGCGACTAGCAAGCAAATAATGAATCACTAAGCAGATCAGTAAACATGATGTGTGATTATCAACTGATTGACATGAGAAACAAGCACAGTCAGCAATATCCCAGTAGAAAATGAGAATGGCACTTAATAGAGGTTCACCCCTGGTCGCGGTGCCAACACAGACTTCACAATCTACCACAGTGGTTCTTTGAAAGCTTTGTTACGTGAGGATTTCCACAAAAAAAATCTGAATCATGAATGATCATTTGTAACAATGAGGCCCATGTTGACGTCTGAGATCAGTTCTCTGTTTCTTGTATGTGATGTTGACAACTAATCTGAAGGGGATATCGTTCATTCTTTTGTGACATGTATCAGGTTGACCCCTGTCTCACTGCATAAACATATAACAATTATTTCTCATCAAAACTCACAATATTTCAGCTCTTCCCATAGTGTAGCTCCAGTGGACTTTACATGATGCTCTGTTTACTGCACAAAAGATGATCTCTTGGGTGAAACATTCAACAAACTAGTGATGTCATGGATTATGCACAAAAGTGTCTCTGATAGACTTGGTCTTTTGCTTGAGAGGCTGTACTCTGCATATAAATATTCCAGTGAAGCAGAGAGACATCCAATAGTGTAATTTCACATGTGTAAGTTGGTCAGATCCTGACATGAAATTGGACCGTCAGAACAATTTAACTGGTGACAATCTGAAAACAGAGGAACATTCTTTTCACCTCTCATTCTTACAGCCTCCAACATGAGAAAGCACAGATTTTACACAGTAAGCCCATTATTTGTTTATGTCTTCTGCATTTTAGCTGCAGATAAACCAGTAGTGGTCACACACAGGTCAATCCACACAGTGCTGGCTTGCAGATGCAGACGTACGAGGGTTTGATGCCGTGTTGGTTGGCCAGGGGATTTATCTCTTGCATCACATAGTTAATCCCTCACTTCTGACATCTACTATATCTGCAGGTGTGTATATCCTTGATAAAGGCAGAAACTGGAGAGGTGTGCTGCATTCTCTCTCCAGAAACTGGAGAGGTGTGCTGCATTCTTTCTGCAGCACTCTGTGGGATAGTTTATCTAAACAAACCCACAAAATCCATATACCTTCTTCTAACATCAGGCTGAGAGCTTTAAGCTTCTGGTGTTTGGCTGCCATCCCATCCTGTGTGATTCAGCATGAGTAATATGACTGCTCCACACTGGTGATTTCAAGAGTGCCCCTCTAAGTTGGACACCATCGCTGAGTCACCATGTAGAGGCAAGTAACTGCAAGTGATAGCACTACACAGGACAGCACAGACAACAACCACCTCATGAACTGATGCTGCAGAAATATGCAGAGTCATCTCTACTGTGTCAGCACACCATCCGTTAAAGACAGGCCAGCGATAAGCCTATAATAACCAAGTGGCTTACTCAGACTGCAGGTGTGGGGCAGGAGGAGACCAAGTAGGGTCTGACTAACCTCACAGGTAAGATAAACGATACTCTTTCATTAACATTTAATCTCTACTTAGATGGCCTTCTTTATTTCAAGAACACACCAGCCAGGTGGGTTGGAGGTTCTAAACTCCCCGTGTACTATCTTAGTGCAGTCTTATAAGCACCGTGCTTGTAAGAAAATGTCTACTTGTGCACACGCCCTTTAAGATCTGTGTAATGCAATTGCTCTTAGCCACTGATTTAACAACCGTGACTGTCAAGGACAGAACAATAAAACTGATTGAAGAGCACAGTTTACACACAAGGAGATTTGCAGTTAAACAAGATGGATTATCACTGCGATCTGACACTGCACAGCCTGCATGCAACAGGGAGACACACAGCGGCTGGACATCTGAAGCAGAACTGGAAGTCAGGATTAAGAAAAAAAAAAGACTCTCAGTATTAATCAAAATGTGACATGTGACAGTAATCAATGTGTAGTGTCTGGCTATAGAGGCAGAAAATGGTCAGTTTCTTTTTCTTTTTGTCTTGGATTCAGTCAGTGATGCATGCAATGGTTACACTTTACACACACCCACAATCCTACACATTACACTTATGTATATTAGATAAAGAGACAAAACATAGCTGTCAGAAATTGACCTGGTGTGAGTGACTTTGCCCAGTTAATGTCAGTGAGCAAAATGAACTGGGTTAACTTTGTCCAGTACCAATGGATTGGTCTCATCCGGTGTTAATGTTACATTTTATATTGACGTTGGGCCATTTGCTCAAAACTAAACATGGTTATATTGATCTAGTGCAAGTCACACACAGTAAAATCTCATTGCTGTAACTTAAAGTTGTCAAGAATGTATTGCTATCTGTACAAAACAATATGTGTATTACTGCAAAGGATTCACATAAAAGTAGACCCAGTGATTTTTAGTGTGTAAATCGACTTCTAGAACAACATTATAAAACCATAAACACACAGTACAGAAAATGGTGGATATTAACCGGAGCAAATGTAAAATCTAGAGCCATACCTAGAATAGTATAGTACAAATCTAAATTATACTCCATTAGATGTTAATAAATGCTGCTGGTATTACAGCCTTTTCTGCTCAAATTATCCACATTATTAATCAGGTTTCAGCTGCACTCTTAACCCTGGACCACCTGCCATAGTTGTTAATACTGATATTTTGGTTATCACTAATGTATTTTGTAGTTTAAAGGAATCTATATTACGCGGCAGTAAACAACCCAGGCAAATGGCTCACATGCGCAAAAACCGATACATCCAATTCTGCAAACAAACTATCAGCAGGGAGTGCGTCGCCAAGCGTCTCCCTTGTGGCCCAGAAAGCAACAGAGCGCGGCGGCCCCTGCGTGTCTGTGTGCGCTGCTGTGTCTCTTTAAGTACAGCAGGCAGTGCTGTCGGTCCGTGAGGGAGCACAGGGCGCACGGTGCGGCGCTGCCTCTCCGCAGCGTCAGACAACCGTCCTTCACATCGGACAGGCGACAGAAGAGACAGCTCGAGCCACCGCCTGCATCACAACCATACTTTGACCTTAATAAAATGACTGGAGCGACTGACACGACAAGGGGACCGTCGCAGCGGGGCTGATGTAGACTCGTGAGCCAACGGGGCCGTTAACGTTACTACCTCCTTCTCCAAGTGAAAGCTTGAAGCGCGTAGTGGCTCATTTGCGGCACAGTAGCACAGAGTATTATTGACTGCACAGGCTAATGGGATTGACAAACTAATTCTGGTTGTGTGCGAATGAGTGCACGGTAAAACCAGCTTTTCAGAGCTCATGTTATAATTCATATTTGGCTGAATGGTCGTGGAGATGAAACATCAAGAGCCGGGGAGATGACCATCCTCAGATGAGTTGCGTCCTGTGAACTGCAACATCAAATCATCCGCCGAAGCCTTATGTTGCCACATGTTTGAGGTATTGTGAAGATTTCTCACGTATTTTCTCTGATTTCATACAAATTAAAAAGAAAAACCCTCACTTAGCAGCAGCAGCAGCTCAGAGTCATTGTGTTGGTTATATCTGTGTTGCAGGAGTCTGAATGGTTAATCAGTGCAATTGCACTGACACTAACACTGACTAAAACACAAACCCAGAAATGAATGGGGTTTGTTATTTTTAAATGATCACTGGGTTTGAAATTGAATAGAGAGGCTACCACTTGTTTAATCAAAGACTGTAGCTTCATCTTTATGTATTTAAAGGCAGTATGCCTTGATTAGACTGAGCCTCAGGCCAGAGAAATGCCGGAGTAAAGTAGAGGCTCTAATCAGCCCTGCCTGTTTCTATACTCCACACATTCATCTATTTATTTGACTCATGACTTTTCCAGTAGACAGGGTCATCCTAAAAATTGTCTATATTATTTTCACCTGTAATGTTTATGTTGTGTGACAGATGTTTCCTGCTCTCTGCTCAGTACATCATCATGTTCACGAGACAGTAAAGATGCATTAGTGTGTAACCAGATGTATGGTTGGTGACCCACAGACTAAACACCCCCATCATTTTCCCCAAAGTGTGAACTCACTGGATTTCATTAGAGCGCTCCTGCTAAGTTTTTACCCGAGCTGAAAATTAGACACAGAAAACAAGCTATTTCCTCCCCTACAGGAAACTAATTTAAGCATTTTTTTCTGGATTTTTGTCTCTTTCTGTAGCTCTAGTATAGACAGAACCCACATTTCTTTTTTCTCTGAGCCAATTTATTTTTTATGTTGCAGGACAAGAGATCAGTTGCTGGTCTGATAGATTGTGTTTGTCTTTTGTTTTTGGCTGCTATTTTTATAATCAGTGAATTGCTTCAGTCAGTGAATTTTAAGCAAAAACGCCAAATATTGCAGTGTTTCCACTGCAATGATTAGTTGCCTTTCTTGTTTTAAATCATTGTAAATTGAATTTCTTTGGGTTTTGGGCTGTTACGTTTCCATGGTCTCCAGGAAATTAAAAAGAGAATATCAAGAAAATAATATGGAGATTAGCTGATAATAAAAGTGACTGTTACAGTATTTATCCTCAGCTGTACAAGCTCATGTTGTACAGAGTAACTTGTGGTGATTTTAATGAAATTATGCACATTTAGTAGCCTCCGCTCTCCCTCACTGTATTGCCTTTGTGCTGTTGATAACCGTAGCCAGGGGCACTATGTTTTCAGATTGTCTCATTCTTGTATTCATGATATCTCAGCAACGCCCTGAGGGAATTTCCTCAAATTTGGCACAAACATTCAAACAACACACTGTTTCACTGTAATGACTAGCACAAGAATGCCAGCTGTAATTCCTGACAGTTCATCCACTTGGATTCAAGGATTAATGAATTACAATTTGGTGGACAGAGGTCAAGGGTCAAGATTAGTGTGGCCTGATTGGTGGAGACATAGAACCATGAGGCAGTAATTCTCATGACCTCAGTGCAGCTTTCTATAGATCACTGTAGTGAACCAACTGCTCAGTGTGAGGAGATGAAGAAAAGGCGCATACTGTTTGTTAACACTGCTCACAGTGCTTTTAAAATTAATTGATGAATGGCACGCATGCTCCTGCTATTTCAGCACTTGCATGAGGGTAAATAAGAAGCATGCAGCATGACAGACCTCTAATGCAGTGGGAGCATGACATTCAGCTCAGAGCGACTGAATCTGGACCACGCTGAATTTATCAGTACAATGAATGTCACTGTGAAAAGCTTAAGAATTCAGACTGAACCTATTGGTAATAGGATTTCACATCACATTAGAACAGTAATGAAGTTTCAGCTGTGCAGAAGGGATAACTGTGGCACTCATTTAAAAAAATCTAATCACTGAGTTTACTGTTGATAACATGAGTTCAGTCCTCCCTGAGGCAGAAGTGAAGGAGATCAGAGAAGTACACCAACTGAAATTCATGTTTGAAACACCCAAGAATGAGAGGATGTTGTTTCCACTGCTGTTGCTGATTCAGATTTTGTCAGTCATGGTCAATGTCACAGCATTTTGTACCAACAGGAGGCCCTGTGCAGCCTCAGTGTACAGACTGAGTCCTGAAAGAAAGAGAAGTTTTTATGCATTTGATGTTGAATTTCAGAGTTGTAGCTGAAGAGGAGAACTTGAAAGTGACTCAGATATGAAGTCCTTTGTGTAGCAACAGGGTGGCCAGTAGCAGAGTGAGGCTTTGAACGTGTCCAGAGCTTATCTCTTCATCCTCTTGGCCACCTCTCAGGGATGCGCCATGATCATAACCATGGCAGTGGGCTTTGAAGATCGCTAGATGAACTGACAGGAATTACAGCTGGCATTCTTGTGCTAGTCATTACAGTGAAACAGTGTGTTGTTTGAATGTTGTGCTCATTCCTGATATATCACCATCAAGAAAGGAAGTCAAGAGCTTCATTAGATCTACAAAAATAGCTAGACATTAGGTACTCTGCTGTCTTTATTATAAAGATGTGCTGAAAACTTTAGTGTTTGTAGAAAGCAGAACAGTAGTGTCACACTCAGTGGCATCAAATTTTATTTTTATTGATCTGAATTCAAAACACAAAGGGTATGTCTTACTTTATTATATTTTGCAATAACTTATTTTCCTTTTCCTCAAAAGAAAATCTGATTTTCCAAAGAGGGTAATCTTTAAAACTGTGTTACAGTTACACAGAGTGGGTCAGACATGCTGCTCGCTCATCTCAGCCAGATATTCAGCTTATAGGAGGATTACTCATTCTGTAAGATGTATCCAGAGAATCAATGCCTAGACAGGTGGTAAGATAATTCTGGGTGGCAGACCCCAGACAACGCCGGGAAGACCCAAAAGTTCAACTTGACCTGTAATCCGTGGGTCCTGTTGTTAAATATTAGATTTGAATATGCATTTATGTTATAAACTCAAACACATATTCAAACTAAAGTGTGAACAAACTAACTGACAAATGACTGATGACACGCTAAGTAGATAGCTAGCCAGACCTGCTGTTCATTCTTTTTCTCTCAGACAAAGACTGACACCCTGCTGAGGACATGGATGTTGTTTAATCCAACCGAGGCTACTATGTGGCGTGTGTGTGTGTGTGTGTGTGTGTGTGTGTTTCAGTCACAGTGCAAAGTCGTGTCCATCTCCTAATTTATTGGGATGCAAATGCAAGGCTATCTATCCCCAATGTGTTTTCCTTGGAGACATGGAGACAAAATCTATTGCCACAGAGTCATCAGATAAGATCATTATTATGTCATTGTACATCCTCACTGGGAACATACACATAAATATTATGGTGCAGCAAAATATCTGTTGCAATCCAATGTCTGAAATGAGCATTTCTCAAACCTTTTCTGTCAAACCAACTGAAGCAACTGACCGCAATATTCTGGGAATGAGGAACAAAGAGATACATTAGCTGAAGTTAATATAAACAACATTATCTAGAACATGAACGCTGGCTCTCGTCAGTCTGACCCAAACTCACTGTTTGCCCTCTGCAGCATTAGACAGACTTACAGCGGTGTGACTGTTCAACACCAACTACTCAGGGGAGTCAGAAATTTGACATCCTGTGTGTGTGAGACAGAATGAAGAGAGAGCCAATGCAATGGAGAAAATGAAAAACAACGAGGTGCAGAAAATGAGGAGGAAATGGGGAATGTAAGAGCCACATTCTCTGTGGTCCACATCTGACCTTGAGATGGTGCCAGCTGCAGAGATTAGCACATCACCACTGTAATTACTCACCTCGAGGAGCAGACCCCCTTGTCCTTTCTTCAGCTTGAGTCCTGCTTCACAAAAAGGCCTTTGTTGGCAATAAACTGTTGGGCTCTGTTTTCTCTACCTGCTGTACCGACAGAGCTCCAACCTGGCAACAGTCAGGCCTTTAAATGGAGAAACATAGTTTATGAACTCCACTTTTGGGAAACTGGAGGACAAAATGCTCTGAGTGCCACCTGTGTATTCGACTGAGACACATTTATCTTTGGGTAATGACCTTTAACTAAAGCTTCATTTATACTCCTAAATCAGTGTCCACATTAAAGTTACTTCTTCTTTAATAAGTTGAAGAAAGCTAAATAATGTTGGAGGAAAGATAAGTCACTTAGTTTCCAATAATATTCAGGATGATGACTGGGAGGCAAAGACATAAAGGATTCTTTGTAAAGCTCTGTTAGATCAGCAGAGTAGATATTACATCCACAGCAAGCCGCCATGTGGTGTTTTCTCAGTTGTGAGAACATCGGTTTGAGCAGTGTTAGTCAGCCACATCCTTCCATATCCAGTCTGCAGTGTGAAGAATTAGACAGGGCCTTTCTTTAAAGTGCATGTCAGGAGATTTTGATAAGCCCTCTCCTAACAATACTGCTATACTGCAACAGGAGCCTCAGTGTGATAAGGAATCAGAAGGAGAGGAGCCCCCTCTGGGTCCGTCAGCCTGTGCAGTCAGTGTCAGCGGCGGCTTCAGATCTCCTTTTAGTGTGCTGGGCCCTGACTGGGCTGTCAGATGTGCTAGAGACTTTTGTGAGGTTGCTGTAAAGTGAACCACTTGGCCAAATCAAAATGTGCCTCCCTCTGTTCCTCCCCGAGCCACCCATCCACTGCTGTGATTATCATGAAATAACAGGATCCTTAAACAGCTCACTGTTGGGAGTATGTCATTAAGGGGTAAATAGAGGCACATTCTCATGATGGTACTGTGCTCAGTAATTGTGTCTACTAGGATTTCAGCTGAAAGATGTGCAATGGTAACCAAACTGTGTTTATTTATAAATACTTAAAGTAAGGGCTTAATATTCTTACGCTCAGCCTTACATGATGTTCTATTAATTTCCAGCAGCCAGCCTAAATCTATCCCCTTATCAGCTACTTTTCTGAATCTGGCGGTAAGCAGAGCACACACACACACACACACACACACACACACACACACACGAGCTCCTCCACAGCACTAATGTTCCCCAT